AGGCCGGGTGGTGTGGCCGCTGCCCGCCTCCACTCCGGGGAGGGGCTCAGCCTTGTCTCCAAGGCAGCAAGTGGTTGAGGATCCTAGGCAGCTGCTCCGGGCCTCCGTTCCCTCCTTGGTGAAGCCTGGAGCCCTGCCTTTGAGGGGTCCCGTGAAATCGGCCTGGAAAGGGAACGCGGTGTGCAGGAAATGCTGTTGGGGAGTCCCCGCTCTGCCCTGGAGACAACTGTCTGGCTGTAAACCGCCCCACCTGCCCGACTCCGCCCAGGCCAGGGGCAAGCACAGCATCTGCCCCGCGCCCAGACCCCCAGACCGGAGTAGCTGAAGGCCTGGGCTGGCTGCCTCCGCCCTTTCCTTAGCCCCTCAGGCCCCTCTCCCTCCTAGGGCACCCCCCACCCCTGCCTCCCAGGCCTGCTGGCAGATCTGAGGGGAGAGGCAGGCCCGCCCCAGGGTGGGCCAGGGAGCAAGGTGAGAGGCCGGCCAGCATTGCATGGAGGCCTCGCCCAGGGTTGTGAGCTGCCCAAGGCGGGAAGGGGTGGGAATTGGGTGCCCTTCTCGCTGAGTGGCCCTGAGGTCTCCGGGCCCAGCCTGCCAGCAGCCCTAGGAGCTTCATCCTGGCACCTCTGCTCCCCCTCCCCTCCCAGGACTCCCAGCTTCCCTGTGCTTCCCGCTCTTCACAGCACCGTTCCCTGGAGCTGGGACAGACTGCAGTGCAGCTGAGCACAGAAGCAGAGGAACCTCAGGTGCCCAGAGACTCCGGGGAGGGGCAGATGCTTTGCCCTGAGCCCGTCTGGGTGCTGTGTGGCCCTCCCGCCTGGCCTCGGCCCCCAGGCTGGCGGGCACCCTGAGGACACGTGCAGTGAGTGTGCCAGGCCCTGCGCTGGGCTCAGGGATGGGGCCAGACGTGAGGTGGGAAGCAGAGTGAGGCAGACCTGGCCCCACACGCTCCAGCACCTGACGCCTGTGTGATCGCACAAGCCGCCCCGTGGCCCTTGTTCCCGGGCGTAAAAGGGGCGCGCCTCCCTCCTGTGGGCGAGGGGGCAAACAGGAGGAGGGCCTGGCTCAGGGGAGCGAGGGCCGTTCACCTCCCTCTGAGGATGGAGGAGGGGAAGGCGGAGACGCCTCGCTGTCCCCGCCGCCGCCCACTGCGGGCACTGCCCTACTTCAGCCCCAGTTGCCAGGGAACCGCCGGGCTCCTCGCTAACCTGGATTCTCTATTGACGGCGGCCTTTGTCTTCCGCCTCTAGCACCGCTGCAGCTGAGGGGGCGAGGGGACCGCATCCAGCTGTGTTTCCAGGCAACCCCAGCCTCCGGAGGCCGCAGGGGGGTCCTCGGCTGGAGGGCTGGGAACCAGTTACCCGCCTCCCCTGCTGCCCAGGTGGGCCCTTCCTCCCCTCCGGCTCCCCAGGCCGGCCTCAGTTGGCAGGGACCCTCTGCAGCGGCTCCGTCCCTGCTCCTCCCAGCCCGCCCTCTGGGCTCCTGAGGCCGTGGGGAAGCACAAGCTTCTCAACTTGCATCCCTGCTGGGCTCGGTGTGACCTGGGCGCTGCCTTCCAGACCCCTTTCCCTTCCTACACCATCCCACCTCCCAGCCTCCCCCCAGGGCCCGCCCGCACCTCCTGTGCCAGGGTCTGTGCCAGGCATCACCCACGAGTGAGGGAATCTCGTTTGCACCTCACACCTGCCCTTCCGTGCGTGCATGTGGGAAACCGAGAGCCTGCCTCTGCTGAGTCGTCTGTTCGTGTGAATTCCCTCATCGGCCCCCTGTGTGGTGTGTGTGGGGGGGAGGGGGGAGCCACAGGTCAGGCGGGTTCTCCCCACCTGAGCCCAGGGGCTCAGATCCAGGTTCACCCGCCACCTCGCCCCAGCCTGTGGGCTCCTTGATCTCGGCCTGCTCTCTGGCCCTCCTGATGGCGGCAGAAGCTGGAGCCTCTCCTGAGAGTTGAGCGCGGCCTGGCCGGGCCAGGGGCTGGTAAACAGGATGGTCGCACACAGGATGATTACTCCGGAGGGGCGTGCGCGGGGGCTTCCAGGAGGAAGTGCCTTTGAGCTGAGCTCGAAGGAAGAGTCGGTGTGGGCCTGGTGACGGGAGGATGTTTCTGGGCAGAAGCAGCAGCAGACACAGCGCTGGGGTGAGAGAGGCGAGTGTGGGCACTGACAGCCGGGCTCGGAGCCGCGGGAGTGAGTGGGGCTGGGCCGGTCTCAGACACCTCGGCGGTGGCAGGTGGGCAGAGCTGGAGGCCGGGAGGTAGGCGGTCGTGGGGTGGGCATGAGGCCGGGAGACCTTCCGGATTTGGTGGGTGACGAGGTGGCTGGGGCAGCGGGTGAGGGGCTGGGTGCCCGTGCCCGGGTCACCCCAGGGCTGCAGTTCTGGGAAAGGGGAAGCGGCAGGCCCGGGTGGGGCCACGGCTTCCTCTTTCTGACCTCCCGGGCTGCGCCTCCCTGGCCTCAGGGGCCCTCGTCCCCCTGGCTTTGTGAGTTGACCTTCTTCCAGGGAATTTCTGGTTCTGAAAGTTGGGGTATTTTTGGAGGGCGGGGCTGAGTGTGAGGAAGCCCCTGCTCCTGGGAGCCTGCTGGGCAGGGGCCTCCTGCCCCAGACGGGGCTGGGGAGGGTTTTGTGGTGAGTGAGACAGCGTCCCTGCCCCTGCTGCTGTCTGGTGGGGGTGGGGCGGGGGCACACAATAAACACGCAGCAAACCAGTGCTTAACTACCTGCCTGGGCAGGAGGTCCCCGGAAAGCAGGGCCTTTGAGGAGCAACTCCCGAGACCTACTTTAGGCTCGCAGTTACCTCGTTTCACCCTCAGGCTGCCCGCCGCGCCCGGAGGCGATGCCCATGGGGAGGAGAGGGCGCTGAGGCCCCAAGGGCAGGACGTTGGTGGGGCCCCGCTCGGTCGGAGGCTCTGTTCTGGGAGGAGGGGCCTCCAGCTCACTTCCTCCTCTGCCCCTGGGGCCCCAGGGCTGCTCTGCCAGGAGCTGCTGGCCAGGGAGCCCCAGGAGGTGACAGCTGGGCCTCCAGGACCAGCCCCCACGCAGCCGGGGCTGTGGTCTGAGCTTGCTCTGTGATGGAGGCCCGGGGCCGGGGCTTCCAGGCGGGAGTCCTGGTGGGGAGGCCGCCGGCTGGCGGCTGCCTGACTGGGCAGGCCCGCTGGGGGCTCAGTCTGGGCTGAGTGGGGCGGGAGGCACGGTAAGCAGAGGCTCGGGCCAGACGGGGGTAAGTGCCGGGTTGGGGTAATTAGAAGGTGTGTAATTGGAAGGCGGTGAGTGTCTGCGAATGCGCCCAAGTGGGTCCTCACTGGTTTCACGTCTGGGACCCCCATTTTGCTCCCGGAAGCCTCAAGATCACAGCTCCCCGTCGTCTGGAGAGGAGCCGCCGCACAGCCCTCCCCGGGGCTCCGGTCGCCCCGCAGGTGCCAGTCAGGGCCCGGGCGGGACGGGGGCGTGGCTGCTGTGCCTCTTCCTCTCGTTCCTGCCCCGGCCTCAGCCCACCCCAGGCCACGGAGGGGCGCTGGGCCTGGTGGCCGGGAGGGCTTGGGGACCAGCCTGCGGATTTGGGGTGAAGGGCAGCCTATGGGTGAGGGCCTGTGAGCACAGGGAGGGGCCGTGGGGAGGAGGCTTAAGGGGGAGCTGCCGGGCAGAGTGAAGGCTCACGGTGGGGCAGATGCTAGAGAGGAAGACTTGTGACAGAGCGGGAGGGGGCGGGCCGGGTGGGGAGAGGTCAGGGATGTCACCTGTCGGGTGCTGACTGCCAGGGTGCAGCCTTCACTCTCTCTGGCCCAACACTCTGTCCCAGGTTCTCCCCGGAGCTGGCCCGGGGCCGCAGCTGGAGAGTCCTGTGGTGAGGCCGCGGCCCCTGTCCCTCCCCCCACTGCCAGGTCGGTGCTGGCCAGACCATCCAGTGAGGCCGGATCGCTTTCCTCCGGTCCCCCCAGGAGGGCCACCCGGCCACTGCAGGCTGAGGGGCTCCCAGGGAGCATGGCGTCAGACAGCGTGGGGACCAGGCAGGGCCCCCCCGCCTGCTGGGGCCCCAGGGGAGTGGCTGGCTCTCCGGTGCCGCCCCTCAGGGTTCAGAGGCCCCAGCTGGCTGGCGGCGTTGGCCAGACACACGGATTCCCTCGCCCTCCGGAGTCTGGAGGGACGGTGGGAACTCCCTCCTTTCGCCACGATCCGTCCCTCTTGTTGTCTAAGCGCATCCTTTCTGCTGATCCCACCCTGCCCCCCGGCCACTCGGCTCTCGGGCCCATGCCCATGACACGGGGACACTAGCCAGCTGGCCATTGGTCAGCCCTGCGTGTGAGTTCCCTGAGGACAGAACCTGGTCCGTCTCATTCATTTTCATGTTGTTTCCTGTGCCTGGCACACAGTAGGTGCCCAAGGGAGGAGGGAGGCTGAGGGCTGGGTGCCAGGACCACCCCAGCGCCTCCCGCAGGTCCCGTGGAGAAGTCAGGGGGTGGACAGTAGACACAGGAGAGGCCGGGACTGTGACGGGGTTGGGGGTGCGTGCAGGAGCTTTGGGGAGAGGTGGTCTAGAGGAGCTTCTGGAGAGAGTTGCCTGGAATTGGGCTGTGAATGTTGAAAGGAAGGGCCTTCTCTGAGCAGGAACAGCAGAGTGAAGGCAGCGAGCGGGAGAGGGGCGAGCTGGAGGCCCGCAGGAGCCTGAGAGGAGGGGGCGGGTGGGTGCAAGCTCTCCTACCCCTCCCCCAGGGAGGCAGTCACAGGCTTCCTTCCTTCAGTCAGAGGCACCTGGACCCCCTGGGAGGCCTCCTCCAGGCTGTGCCGCCGGGAGGCGGGCCCGGGGGGCACCCCCTGCTCTGCTCAGGCCTGAGGGCGGAAGGGGTGCCAGTGAGGGTAGACCGGCCTCACCAGAGCTCTGCTGGCCCGGCCGCACCTCACGCTCCCCACCCAGCTGTCCTGGGAGCGGCTGCTCTCGCTCCTGAGCCTCCCCTCCGTCTGCCCTAGGCGGGGGACCCCAGGGCCTGAGGAAGCCGAGGATGAAGCTGAGGATGAAGCTGAGCCCTCCACCACACTGGCCCCTGTCCTGCTTCCTCGTGGTGAGTCGGGATGGGGCTGTGGTGGGACACAGAAGAGCCGGGGCCCCGGGCCCTGCGCCCGGCCCCCGAGGAGGTGGGCGTCAGGGCCCTCAGGAGCCGTGCTGGGTACGGCTCTTCCCTGGAGGAAAGGGCCCCTTGGCCCACACTGACCTGTTTCCCGGAGCCAGGCCTGGGCCTGAGGGGGTCCCCAGAGCCTCCTACGTAACATTCCCTCTGCCCCTCAGGACAGGTGGCTCTGTCTGCCTCTGCCTCCCCCAAAGCAAAATCGGGGACCAGCAGGGGCTCCCCACAGCACAGGGTTTGGGGCAGACAGTTCGCACCTGGAAGGGAAGCAGAGGGAGCTCCCAATGAACGGGCTGGGGCGCGAGGGAGAGACCCTTCTCTGGGACGTCCCGCCCAGTGTGTGCAGGGCGGCCGGGGTGATGGGGAGGTCACGGAGGAGGATGTGGGGCTGGAGACGGGCCAGGGCCCAGAGGAGGAAGTGCCAGCTGCAGGTCTGCCCTAGGGAGGATGAGTGGGGATGATGACAGGCCCAGCTGTGTGTGGAGGGGAAGGGGGGGAGGAGGAAGGCAGCAGGAAGCCGGGCGGAACTCAGAGAGGAATTCGGAAGCATCCCCCCTCATCCTGGAGGAGGGAGAGGTGTGACTCAGAGGCCCGAGGGCTGGAGGTCCTGAGCCGGCCTGTCCAGCTTTCCAGCATTTCCAGCACCGATGGGCTCTCCCTCCCGGGGCCTGGCCGGGCAGCAGGTCCGGGACCAGCAGGCTCTACCTGGGCCCGAGGGTGCGGGCAGAGAGGACCCCCGAGGCCCGGGCATCAGGAAGCGGGTGGTGGGGAGGCGGCCCAGAGGTGCCGTGGCCCAGGGCTTCCTGCTCAGTGTGCTCTGCCCATTGATCTTCCAGCTGCTGCCCTGGCCTCTGGCTATGCCAACGTCAACGCCCCTGTGGCAGTGCCCCCCCGGGGAGGAGCCCGAGCTGGTGAGTTCGCCCCGCCCCCGCCCTCCCCCCCCCCCCCGCCCTGTCCTAGGAAGACTCCCGAGGGCCGGGGACGGGCTTCCCGGCTTCGTTCTCACCCTTTCCCTCCCACAGGAGCCGGGCCAGGGCACACTCTGCAGGTCCTGCCCCCCGGGCACCTTCTCAGCCGCGTGGGGCTCTAGCCCCTGCCAGTCCCACTCCCGCTGCAGCCTTCGAGGCAGGCTGGAGGCCCGGGCGGGCACAGTGACTCAAGACACACTGTGTGGAGGCTGCCAGCCTGGGTGAGCCATGGGGCGGGCGGGAGCCTGGCCCCAGCCTCCCCAGCCCTGAGCGGGCCTCAGTCCTCCCGCCTGGGAAACGGGGCGGGTAAGGCCCAGCGTGGGTGTCCAGCAGGAAGGCGTCCAGGCTCTTGAGGAAGGTGCTGGGTCTCAGTGCTGTCTCCCCCCCGTAGGTGGTTTGCCCCTTCGGAGCTGCCCCGGGTCCCCTGTCAGCCGTGCTCCGGGGCAGCGCTGGGTCCTCGCGGGTGCTATGGTGAGTGGCAGACGGGGCCCAGGGCCTGTGTGTGTGGGAGGGGTCTAGTGAGCTTGAGCCCAGGCACCCGCGCAGTGTCCCTCCAGGGCAGCAGGGTCCTCACTCCCTCAGCTTAGGGGAAGGTGGACAGCCAGGGGGTGTCCAGCGGGGCGTGGCCAGTTGTTCCCCGGGCTGTCCGTCAGCCCCAGTCACTCTGAGAGGCAGAGACCACCCAGCGGGAGGGCTCACATCTTGACCCGAGTCTCCATCCTCATCCCCGAAAAACTCCGCACATGCCTGTTCACACGCACACACGCACCTCCTCTGACCCATTGGGTCGGCTAACTCACGGGCCAGGTCCCGGGAGGCGGGATCCAGTGTCCCTGTGCCCAGGCACGCACGCCGGTGCCATCCGCTCATTCCTCTGCCCCCGCAGGAGGGGTGACGGGAGGGGAAGGGGATGTGGTTCTGACCACCCTGCGGCCTGAAGGGGCCTTGCTCAGGCTGACGGACCAGATGGCCAAGTAGGAGGGGCTGGGGGGGCGTTGGAGGTGTTTCCCCAACATGGCAAGGCGCGGACAGCTCTGAACACGTCAGCACCCGCACACACGCACACGCACACACACGCACACGCCCTGCTCGGCCGGGCCTCACGGTGATTCTCTCTGCCCTGTCTGGCCCCCGCGCCTCCGTCCCCCGGTGCCCAGGGCGGAGAAGGCGGACCCGGCGTGGCGCGGAGGGAACCGCGGGGGCCAGAGGCGCCGGGGAGGCCCGGCCGCCCGGGAACGGCACGCGGGCGGGCGGCCCTGAGGAGACGGCGGCCCCGTACGCGGTCATCGCCATCGTGCCCGTCTTCTGCCTCATGGGGCTGCTGGGCATCCTGGTGTGCAACCTGCTCAAGCGGAAGGGCTACCACTGCACGGCCAACAAGGAGGTCGGGCCCGGCGGCGGCGGCGGCGGCGGTGAGGCTGGCTGGGTCCTGGTGGGGAGGCGGAGGGTCTGATGGGAGAGGCCGCGGAGGGCAAGCCGGGAGGGCTTCCCGGAGGTGCTGCATGGGAGACGCTGCAAACTGACGCGGGAGGAGGGAGGGTGCGGTGGCTCCGGGCGGTGACGGACAGAGCGGGCAAGTGGCTTTCCTGGGATTCCCCCTTTGGGTGAGGCCACGCCTGGCTGACGGGGGCTGAACTCTTCAGGGCCACAGTTTTGTGTGTGGTTCGAGGGTCGGTCTGACTGCCTTCTTTTTTTTTTTTTTTTAAGTGTCCTTTTTTAATTATTTTATTGTTTTTTTACAGAGAGGAAGGGAGAGAGAAAGCTAGAAACGTCGATGAGAGAGAAACATTGACCAGCTGCCTCTTGCACACCCCCCACTGGGAATGTGCCCGAAACCAACGTACATGCCCCCGACTGGAATCGACCCTGGGTCCTTTCAGTCCGTAGACCGACGCTCCACCACTGGGCCAAACCGGTCTCGGCTGGCTGCCTTCTTGATCCTCAAAGTGACCTCTGACCTCCGGCCTGAAGGGCTCGAAAGGCAGCTGTCCTGGGCAGGCGCCAGGCGAGGCTTGGGCTTCCAGGCTGTGGTTTGAGCTCTGAGTCCTAGACCAAAGGGAGATGTGTGTTTCCCCCACCCCCACCCCAGGGCCCTGGGCCCCTTCCTCCTCCCCACACCCACTCTACCCGAAGGCAGGAGGGCATGTGCACGTAGGTGGCCCATAGGAGCCTGGTGACCAATTTGAGGCGGGCCAGAGCCCTTCCCAACTCCTGACAATGAAGTCAGGGGGAGAGGGGTGTGTGTGTGAGGAGACCGAAGCCTTAGGCCTGGAACTCAGACCACCTCGCCTGGGATTCCCTTGTTCCCTAGCCTAGGACGAACTTAAACTGCTGGCTGCTTCCGGGCACAGTGCGAGGAGCTGTTTGCTGCTGGCCCAGGACCGAGCCTGTGGCCCATGGTCAATGCCTTTAGGCCTGGGCCCTAAGCTGGCCGAGAGCCCTGTGTGTGCTTTAGAGACAGGAGGGCGTGCAGGAAGGCAATATGCCTGGAATTGGCAGTGTTTGCAGGAGTTGTTGGCTGAGGGGGGAGAGGACAGGCCCCAGCAGCACTGCCCCGGCCCTCACACTCTCTGCAGGAACTGTAGGGTTCTGATGGCCTGACACTGCTAAGCACCAGGACTTTGGGTGCCGGAGGCGTAGGGGGGAAGGCGGGGCGCGGGCAGTGATGCTGAGTCGTGAGGGTGATAATGGGCTTCTCAGAGCTCCTGCGCCTGGAACGGGTTTGTAAACACCCAGGCTGGAAGCCCTGCGCCTGGGAAGGCGTGGTGCGCCCTCTGCTGCCACATGTTGGTCTGGCTCCGGAGTCTGGGGTTCCACCCTCCTCACTTCCCCGGAATCACAGTCCTCCTCTTCTGACCCCAGGGAACAACCCCGCCTACGGGGCTGAGGATGCCAATGAGGACACCATCGGGGTCCTGGTGCGCCTGATCACGGAGAAGAAAGGTGAGGAGAAGGTCCGCCTGTCCTCTCAGAGCCCGCGAGAGGCCAGCCTCCCTCTGACCTGTGTGGTGGATGGTGCTGCCTCTTTCCCTCCTATTCTCGCCTAGTTGGGGAGGTGGGTAGAGGTGGAGGAAAAGGCACGTGCCCAGGCCAGGAGGAGGCGGGGGGGTTGGTACTGAGACGGGGGGGGGGGGGGTCCTGGGGGAGTGCCCCTCTCGGCCCAGAGCCGGGTTCTGACTCCAGCTGCCCACAGAGAACGCGGCGGCCCTGGAGGAGCTGCTGAAGGAGTACCACAGCAAGCAGCTGGTGCAGACCAGCCACAAACCTGTGCCCAGGTGAGCGGGCGGGTGGTAAGGAGAGCACACCCAGCGAATCCGCACACTTCCTGGGCCTCACCACCTGGGGATGCGCCCTCCCCTGTCCCCCCGCAGCCTTCCCCACCTCCTGTGGTCTCCTGGGCCCGGTCTGCCCCGGTGACCGCTGCCGCCTGTGCCCTCCCTAGGCTGCCGCCCAGGCCCCCCAGCGTGCCGTACATCTGTCCCCATCACCACCACCTCCACACCGTGCAGGGCCTGGCCTCGCTCTCCGGCCTCTGCTGTTCCCGCTGTAACCAGAAGTGGCCCGAGGTGCTGCTGTCCCCCGAGGCTGCGGCTGCCACTGCTCCCGCATCCAGGCTCCTGCCCAACCCGGCCAGGGCTCCCAAGGCCGGGGCCAAGGCCGGACGCCAGGGCGAGATCACCATCTTGTCTGTGGGCAGGTGAGGTGGGCACAGGCGCGGCAGGGCCCGGGAGAGGACGGCCAGGGCGGGGGTGCGGGGAAGCAGGGCCCCAGGTTGAGCCCCGAGTACCTGCCTGGTGAGGGCCCCACCTCCCTTCCTGGCCCAGTGAGCCTCTGGGCAGTGGGGTGACCGGGGAGAAGCCGGGTCTGCTTAGCGGGGCTCTCACCTGAGCCCTGGGTCCCTGGGGCGGGATCCTGGATATTGTCACACCTGGGCCCTCGGGCCAAGGGCCTATCTACCTGCAAGGTAGGGCTGGGGGCTCCTCTGTGGATAAAAGGGTGTGGGAAGGGCTCAGGCTCTGACCAGTGGGCCTGCTGTGAGACCGTAGCAGGAGCTGCCTCCTCTAATGGGGGGATGATCGCCCCACCTCTCCCCACAGGTTCCGTGTGGCCCGAATTCCTGAGCAGCGGACAAATTCCTGGGCCTCCGAGGTGAAGACCATCACGGAGGTCGGGCCCTCCGTGGGCGACTTCGCTGACTCCCCACAACCTGGCCTCCCCACTGAGCAGCGGGCACTGCTGGGAAGCAGTGGGAGCCATGCTAAGTGGCCAAAGCCTCCGGCAGAGAAGAAGGCCGAGGTGAGGGCCGCGGAGGGGGAGTGTCTGCCCTGCCTGCAGAGCGGGCAGGAATGGAGGGGCAGGGACCCCTGTCCTGGAGCCTCCGCTCTGACCGCTCGCTCCTGCCCCCCAGGAGAGCCGCTATGTGGTCCGGCTAAGCGAGAGCAACCTGGTCATCTGAGGGCTGTCTTGGCTGAAGACCCCGCAGCCCTGTCCTGGGAGGCCCCCGAAGGCTTCCTGGAGGAGGTGGAGCTGCAGCAATGGATCAAGAAGCAATGGCCCCGCAGACAAACGGCAAAGGCTGGAGGTGGGGGCATCTGCCTCAGGGAGGCGGCCGCGGCAGGCGCAGCGCACAGGAGCAAGTGGAAAGCCACCCGTCCCTGCCACCCAGTTCCTCCTTCCCTGCAGGATGCCCTGACCCTGGGCCCTGGTCAGATCCCAGGATCCATAGGGTCCTCGGTCCCACCAGGAGGCCAGGCCTTGATGGTGGAAGGGGCCCCTGCTTGGCACCCTGGCCCCGCCCCTTGGTAATTGGCCAATCCTGCCTTTGTCCAGGGCCCCCAGAGCAGATGTGCCTCCCCTCCCCTTCCGGCAGGACCTGTGAAGGGGAGGGGCAACAAAGCGCCATGGGCAGGGAGTCTGAATCCGGGATTCTAATCCCGGCAAGTCCCTGGCCATCCCTGGGTCCCCCTCTGTCTGACTGTGAAGTCTCAGGGCCCAGGGCCTCCCAGCTCCCTACGGCTCTGGCTGTGTCGTGGTGAGAGCTTACCTCCTTGCCGCCCCTCCCACTAGTAGCTTTATCTGGCCCTGTTTTTTGCTGCTTCCAGGGCCTCTGCCTTCAAGGCCCCCACGGGGCTGCCCATCCATGGCTCTGCCTTCAGAAGGGGCTTCATGCATGTGCCTGCCTCCTGCCCTGCTGTTCGTGTTTATTTAAATCGATAAAACAGACTTGGCCTGGGTGGGGCCCAGCCACCCCCAAGGTCTCAGGAGCTTTGGGGGAGGCACCGCTGGCGTAGGTCTGTGTCCTGTGGTGTTGGTGTGTGTTCCCTGGTGTGGGCAGTGCGGGTAACTGCCCAGCCCCTTGCCACCCTGGCTCAGCACCCTGGTTATTTATGGGAGGCTGTGCAGGCGCGGCTCCACTGTGGTCCCCGGTTCTTATTTATTGAAACTGCTGTTGTCCTGTCCTTGCGTCTCCATCCCCGTCCATTTGTTGAATAAAAGGCGGGATAGTTGTGTCACGAGGAGCTTCTTTTCCCTGTGCCTCTTCCCAGGCGCCCAGTCCACTCCCTGAACCTGCCAGGCGGTGGGTGTGGCACAGGCCATGCCCCCTCGAGGGCCTTCTCATTGGCAGCAGGTGCAGTGGGGCCGGAGGAGGCCCTCACCCCACCTGGTTCTCACAGAAGCCCTCGGGCAGTGCCATCCAAGGGAAATAGTGTGTGTCATGTAATTAAAATTTTTCTAATAGCAACATTTAAAAAAAAAAAGTGAATTTTAATGATACCAATAATGCATTCTATTTAACCTAGAATATGTCTAAAGTATTTTCACTTCAATATACAGTCGTCATAAAAATTGTGAGTGAGCCACTCATGCTTCTTCTTTGAAATCTGGTGTTTTATGCTTAAACCACATCGTATGAACCAGTGTACGTCCAAGGCTGAGAGCCGCCTGTGGCTAGTGGCTGTGGTGGACACACAGCTCTAGAGGAAGTGGAGCCTGGAAGACGATGTGGTAAGAGGTACTGGGGGCTGGGTAGCATGGGAGGGGAAGCGTGCTCCACCGAGAGGTAACCGCGTACGCACAGGCCAGCCATCGACAGACAGGAGGAGCTGGAGAGGCTGGAAGTAGCACCGTCTTGGCAGGCATGGAGACCGGGTGGGTGGGCATTAGAAGGCAGCCAGGTAGGCTCTTGGGACCAAGGGACCCCAAGGAGCTTCCAAAGCATGTAGGGGGGTAAGGGCACGGTCAGGGCGCTCTGGGTGGGTGGGGGAGCGGCAGGAGCGCGGGTCCCAACCTCCAGGCAAGAGATGGTGGAGGCGGGGCTGGGTGGGTGATAGAAACAGATGGTCCAATAGATTCCTGGGACAGGACGCCAGGGCTTGGTGAGGGGACAGCTGGGTGGTGAAGAGGCGCAGCAGTCCTGAGGCATCTGGAGAGAACATCTGGAAGCACTCAGGTAGGCATTTCTACCAGTACTAGCCGGGGGAGGGGAGGAGGTAAGGGGAGACATGTTCCAGGGAGAGGGCTGCGGAGCCAGGGAACGCAGGGTCCGTGTTAGAACAGGATGTGGCTGGCATCATCTCCAGGGAGCGGGGAGAGCAGGGCCAGGCTGAGTGGGCTGAGTCCACTCAGAAGCCTGGTTGTGCCAGGCCATGAGGGTGTGACCCTAAGACTCCAGGGAGAGAGGGTTTAGTTTAATTCTGGTTGGTGTTCGGTGTGTTTGTTGTTGTTAAGGTGGAAGAAGGGGACACACTTAAAAGCAAACAGGCAAGAGGCCCCCGGAGTGTTGGGGGGACTCCTGGGGGCCTTCCTGCTGGGCCTGGCCTGGCCGCTTCAGAGAGCGCTCTGCCCTGAGGGGAGGCTGGAGGACATGCCTGGAGACCCCAGCTTTCCCCCCTTCTCTCGAGGCTTCCCAGAGGGGGGAGAGGGGGGCAGGAAAGGAAGGGCACCTCTGAGGAGCCAGGGGACAAAGCTTCATCGCTCCGGGGGAGGGGGGAAGGAGACGGAGGCTGGACAGCAGGAGGAGCTGGAGCACCAGAGGCTCAGTCTGGGACAGGGTGTCCCTGTGGGGGGCTAGCAGGCATCTCTGTGCACCCACGGGCATGTTCCTCCATTTGCCAGCTGATAGCTGTATCTCGGGGTCTAGCTTTTCAGTGTTTCCTCAGCCAACCAACTCAGTTCACCTCGGACTTAGACCCACTGGAGTGTGGGTGAGGCCGTGCCTTCCAGACGCCCTCTCACTGGGGTGAGGCACCGCCCGGTAGCAGCCAGGGTGGAGAAGGGCTTCCCAGACAGCTAAGGGACACACGCTTTGGTGCTAGGACCTGGGGCAACAAACACTGCTCCCCACCAGACCCCCCCACTTTCTGCGTGCCACAAGGAAAAGTGGCTGGGCCAGTTTCTTCACTGTCCTTTGGGGACATTGAGGCCAGCTCCCAGGGGGGAGAGGACGAGGTCAAGGTGGAGGGGTGTCTGATACCCTGGCCTTCAGGAGCTCCTTTCCCCAAAAGCAGACCTATCAGACTCAATTTAGGCCTTTTCTGGGCTGAATGATCAGTTTCTTTGCTTGCAAATAAAACTCCCCTATGAGGAAGTCCTTGCTCTTCTGTTCCCCAATAGAGGCGGCACCCCATCCTCACCCGGAAGCTTTCCTGGCTGGTCCCCTCTAATCCTGATGGCCTTGCCAGCTGTTAAGCTCAAGGCTGGCTCAAGCCACTGGCAGGGTTGGGAAGTGGAGGACAGGGTGGGGATCTGGGCTGACCATTCCTTATCCTATCCACACCCTTTCCTGCAGGGGTCAGAATGGGCCCAGTTCTCCACTTCCCTGCCTGCTCTGGGCCCTCAGCCCTGCACTGTGACCTGGCGCCAAGTTCCTGGGGGAAATCCCCTTCCTGCCCCGGAGAGCGCTGTGGCACAGCCTGGCACTGCCTATGGGCAGAGGGACCCTCCCCTCCCACTCCTGCCTGAGCTGCTTGCCAGGAGCTCACAGGAGGGGGAGCTGGGGCTGGTGCTGTGGACGCAGCGGGGGCCGGTGGGAAGGCTGAGGAGGAGTCTGGGCTGTAATTACAGCCCTGGTGTGAGCCAGGTCATCAGCCAACCTGGGCCTGCTCTCTCTCCAGTGGAGGAGGCTGAGTATTTGGAGGCGAGGAGAGATTAGACTGTGGGAGGCCAACCCCTGGAAGGAAATGGGGGTCACAATGACCAGGGAGAGAAACCCTGGCCTGGACTACGGTAGTGGCTTTGGCAGAGGGGAAACAAGAGTGAGATGTTCAGGATGAACATTTGGATGGAGACCACGTAACTCCCCTGGCTTCCCACCTGACAGACTGACCCTTTAAGCAAGCTCAGCATTGCCTCCTCTGGGTGGTGCCTGGAGTTTGGAGCCAGCAAGTGAGTTCCAACTCTGCCCTCCGGGCTGTCACCTTGGTCAGGGTACTTACCCGCTTAGCGGTCCCTCCCGAGGGCAGGCCTAAAGGACTCACTTCCCATTATGCCGTGAGGATTGTTACCAGGCGTCACGCGCAGCAGCCACGTAAGTTAGCACCTGGGAGGTGCAGCTTCATCTCCCTGGCTTCCCTGTGCCTCTGTGTGGCTTCCCTGTGCCTTTGTCCAGGTGCCGGTGGCCAATGCCCAGCCCCTCAGCGGTGAGTGGCAGGGCGGCCGCCCTGTGCCTGCAGGGTAGGTGTGACCTGCCTGGTGAGAACAAGTTTAGAACCGACTCGGGAAGGAGCCCGGGACTCGCTGGCCAGGAGCTGGTCTGTGTCCCCTGCCCCAATAACCACCAGTCTGGTCACCCCAGACTTTTTTGGGAAACTTCTTTTTAATAGTTATTGAATGTTCTACAGCTTACAGTAAATATCATAGTTACAAATTCTTGGCTTCAATCTTTCAGAATGATCACTATCTGATCAAAACAAAACAAAATCCCAAAAGAATCCAAAACCAAACCAAGCCAGATTTACACTTCATATACACAAGCGAGGCCGTGGGGCTTTCCAATCTTTGCACTCCAGGCTGTGTTTTGAAAACACCTATAAGTTCTTTGATCAACTACTTGGAAGACACTGGTCAAAGGTTTATTATTATTATTTTAAATGGTTGTTTTTTTTTCCTTTTAAAATGTGAATTCCAATAAAATTTAAAAATCAGATTCCAACCTGTAGATTAAAATGAATTAAAAAATACAAAATCATATACAACACTCTCACAGGGATGTAACATGCCATGAGAACAGGTGATATGAAACAGGAGATGGGGACAGGCCCCGGGCCTTTCAAGGTCATTACAGACAACTCCCAAGCAGAGGCCTGGTCTGGCCTCCTCAGCAAGGAGAAGCTCAAGTCCCACCCTAGATCCGGACAATCTGCTGACCCGAGCAGGTGTCTCAGGCAGCCCCCCCTTCCCAATCTCAGCTGGAGGAGGAAGGCTGGAGTCTGCAGATGCTGGTCTTGCTGGGGTCCG